GGAGGAACCCCATTAGCAGATAATAGATAGATAATCCAAGTTAGTTATGATGATTGGAAAGGACAAAACAAACCCAGAAGAGATTATATCCATGTTGAATAAAGTGAAAATGTAGTTTGCTTTTTTAATTTGTGGATCATTTTTGGATAGTGATATTTGTTGAGACAACTCAACTTATGAAAATTGTTATTTAATTAATTACGTAAAATAATAATGATGATGAGGATCATCATCATCATCATAATTAAAATAATAAGAGAGAAGAGTGTAGATCGATGATGGACCCATGAAAATGAAGAAGACAGAGACCTTTTCGTAGCAGTTATGAATTTAACAGTTTGAACTTTCAAGTTCATGGTTTACAGGTCATAATTGCATTGGTGCCCAGCTGTTGATAATAACATAATTCCTGCGAAATCTTACCACGTGCAATGTCTTGCGGCTCTCGTCATTTCATTTTCAGGATTGTCGCCTTCCCACCACCATAGTATTTTAAAAACAAAAGTTTTTAAGTTGGTTTTATTAATTTAAGTATCTTTTCTCAATTTAATTTTAACTATTTTATATAATTAATCAAATTAGTCTAAACATGAAAAATAATATAAAGGGTTAATATACAAATTTCTTGCGTACATTAATACAATAAAGTTTTCTTGAATGCAACAATACAAATATCTATACATTGCATCACATGACATAGACATAACTCTGCGGTTACTAACTAGATAACACTTTCCTTTGTTTTAGATATTTATAGAACCTTAGTTGGCGTATATTCTTTTAAATAGGGTTATTAATATAATTTTTAATTTTTAAAATTTGAGTTCATTTTAATTTTGATCACCGAAATTTAAAACTAGTGTTTTTAATCTTTAAAATTTGCTCTGTCTATAAAGTTCTCGTAAGTTAAATGGTGTTAAATATTGCTAATATGACACAAAAACCATTAATTTCGATAATGTGGCCTGATAATAAGTAAAACAAGTTAGTATCCTTTTACTTTATGTGGGTATATGAAAATAATAGAGCAAGAGCTCCAAAACACGACACACAAGGAGCAACAAAACTTATTAACTAACTAGAAACATCAAACAATGGGATAAGGATGCCATATATCCACATAAACTATTAAGATGACTGCTAAGATGTTAGCTTATTTTACTGAGTAATATTTAACATCGTTTAACTTATAGGGACAAACGTTTATAGATAGAGTAAATTTATAAGGACAAAAAACACTGGTTTGGGATTTCAGATATCAAAATCAAAATGAGTTTAAATTTTAAAGACTAAAGATTATATTGACCTTCCTATATATTCATCTGGTCCTCTTCATTTCACACAGATAAAAAAAAAATCTTAAATTTCATTAACTCTAATTTAAAATTTAATAACTTTTCAACTTTATCCCAATTTACTATACATTATACTTAAACAAAGTTAACACAATAACAAATGAGGGGTAAAATTATACATTCATACAAAAAAATTTTCTCAATGCCCTATAAATAGGCTAAAAAAATATATTCTCTCTCTGTTCTATAAATAGGATCCAAGGAGTATATTTTCGGAGCACTAATTATAGGATAATATGCACAAATATGTGTATAGTTGAATGCTTTAATTAATGTGTGAAAATAAATTGAGGAAATTGTAGGAGTGATAAGGAATATTATTTAAGTATAAATGATTGAAGAAACATAAATTGAGGCGGGTTTCAACGGGAATCACAAGCAAATTGGTGTACCTACTTTGCTTCCTACTCTCGTCTCTGGGTGTCTTATTGTCATCCTTTTTCTGAATGCAACTTTGCCTCTTCCCTTTTCATATGCATCTTTTCACATTCTCCATGTGCTCCATTCCCCTTATACCCTCTCACACATTTCCACTGCATCTCTCTCTCTAAATATATATATTATATATAGAGAGAGAAAGCTTTTGCACATTGGGTGAGAAGACTTTTTTTGGTTATGATTGATTAAATATAGTATATTTGCCCTCTTTGAGTTAATTATAGAGAAATAATTTTACGATATATGAAATAAATATGTGATAATGATTTTATCTAATAAAGTATATAAGTAGGCTTTCAATTACGATTTACAAAATATGAGATAAGTATGTGAAAGAAATTTTGTCTTAGCTTACGTAGAATGTGTTTATAAGCGATTTCAAGCATGATATTAAATGGGATCTAAAACATAAGTCATGATTAGGAGATGGTTAGTGAATTAATGATTTTGTTTTTCGATTGGCTAATACGAATACGCTTAACAGAAGTAGTAATAGAAAATAAATTAATTCTTTGACAATTCTAATGAGTTATTCTTTTTTTGTACCCATGAAATTGTTTTTGAATATAACTCGTATTTTGAAATGGAAGGAGGATTATTTACAGCTTTTAAAAGTGTGATTATCTATGTAATTTTTATTTTTAATAATTATTGGGTATATATGGTATTTTGACTATTATGAATAATGAATATGAGCATTGTTAGGTCGGAATAATAGGTACCTGCCGAAAAAGTTTTTCCACAAGACATTATTTTTCTTTTTAAAGATTTGACCCAATCATCATTTTCTAGCTTCACATGCTTTTAAATGGATCTTGATTTAGATAGTGTAATTTAAAAAAAAAATCGGGTCTAATTTAATAATCGATAATCATATTGATTTCGCTATTTTGGATTGTTCCTTCAAATGTGGAGAGGAACCTTATTAAATAGCACAAGATACAAGAAAAGGGGGAAAAGTGTGAAATTCCAATTTAGATTTTGGGAACGTTGCAAATGGAAAATACAAATAGAAGACGTTAAGATTAACTTTAATGGAAGATTGGGTTTGATATGATATCCTACACACACACACACACACTCATATATAAAGCTAGAGGAAGATGATTATTCTATTTCCCCAACGTTACATACGTAAATACTACCTCCGGTTCTAATTATAAGAGTCAATTGATTAATTTGATGAGATTAAGGAAGTAAGTTGATTTAGTTATTTGTCTTAAATAGGTATTGCTTTTCTAAAATATCATTGCTAATGAAGTGTAGTGACTAAAATTATCATTGTTAGAAGGGTTATTTTGAAAAAAAAATGTATAAATATGAGGGACAAAGTGGATTGGGGCCTTATATTTAGAATCAAAATAAAAATCAAATAAAGTTTTATATTAAGGACCAGAAGTAATAATATTTTAGCTATTCCAATATAATTTTGAAGTGATTTGTTTTTTCCTAGTCACCTTGGGGACCAAAATGAACTCATACAGTCTACACAACAAATATGATAAGGGCGCCAAATCTTGTAAGATTTTTGGGCCAAAAGTTGTGAAGATAAGTTCGAGAACTATAGCCTGATTGGCCCAGAAGGTTTGTGCTTTTCTTCAAAACATTCATAGTGGATCCAAGACCGGTATTGAGTTGAGTGCGCAGGGCGCATGCGCGGACCAAGGTTCAAAATATCCAGTCAGTCACGCCAGTGATTTAAGAATTAGTAGGTGAGATTGGAATCAGACTTAATAATAATTAAAATAAAACAGTTTAATTAAAATATCTAAAAAAAATTATTTTTTTTATTTTCTCTCTTCACATAACTCATTAAAAAAAAAATTTCTATATTTTTTTAAATCTCGCTTTTACTTCTCATCCTCTCCATTCATCTCTGTGCCTCCATCAATTCCTATGACAGCACACTAATCTTTCACTCTATCGTTTGGAGATGAGATACCCCTTCCTCCTCCTCTAATTGTTCACATATAAAAACATATTTGAAATCACTCAAAAAATATTTGAAACCTCTTAAAATTTGTCAGATTTTTTCTTGTACAGCATACAAATGTTTTTTTTTAACTAACAAACAGAAAAGGCTAATCCCCACAACATGACATATCCTAAGGTGTGTTTGGCTCAATGGAAGGGAAGGGAGGTGATGGATTTTAATGGAGGAAAGTAAAGGTGAGGGGAGGGGAAGGATTCTAATATTACCTTACTTGGACTTGGCATAAGGAAAGGAAGAGGAGAGATTTTAATGTTACTTTATTTGGCTCAGAAGGGGAAGAGAGGGAAAAAAAATTTATGTGGACAATTTTACCCTCATTTTATTTAAGTTGTTTTTCAAACTTTTTAAAATGTCTAATAAAATAAAATTATAAATGACATTTAATATATAAAATTATAATTTGATAATTATAAAAAATAAATAAATAAAATTATAATAGACAACCAACATCTAACTCCATAAGACAAGAACTCTTGTTTTCTTTCTAGGTCTGTCGTTTTGTGTCGGAAAAAATTATTCTTTAGCATTGTTATTGGAGTATTTTGCATTCATATATCGTATAAAAATGTTAATAATAGTTAATAAAGAATTTTATTGAGATGAAAATAGACAACTAAAAGCAATTTAATAAGATGTGAAAAGAGCAAAGGAGGTTAGGATGGATAGTTTCGGAACACTAAACATAAGTATGGGTACATTGATCATATTAAGACAAAATATTATAAAACCAAACAAGAGTAGGAAAGCAAAATCCCCTCTTTTTCCTTTTCTTCCTTCTGAATTCCTCGTACCAAACAAACTAAAATTGAATTTCTATTAGAAAAGATATTTATATTTAATGTTAGACAGTATTTTGAATATAATTGTCTTTACTAGAAAAATATGTATGCTTAGGGGAAAAAAAAAAGGGAAGCTTTTTTTAATCTAATCCAAGCAGACACTAAAATTGATTTGAAATAATTAACATTAAATCCCTCTGATTTCAGCTCAACTTTAATCAAGTCATGATGTTTTTAACGGGTCGTATAATTCCTTAATTATAAGCATAGCTTCCTATATTCATGATTGGTTAATTTAGGAGAAAAATGGATAATAGCGGATAACGAATCAGGACCTTTTGTCACTTTTAAAGATAAGAGTGGTCGTTCCATATGTACATGGGGAAAAAACCGGGCAGATAACTCAGCACAAAACAAAACAGCGACACTTAAAAATTAGGAACCTATAATAAACTCAAGCTGCACCTTCAACGAGGCATTACATTGATGGAAACGCCCCACCCAAAAGAAAAAACAAAACAAACCAAATGCAAAAGGAAGAAAAGGAAGAAAACTAATAATGATACCCTACATATATCAAACATGATCCAAAGAAATATACACAGCGATGAAAGTCAGTAATTCTCAGCCACGGGCCTAGATGGAAAAAGCCTCAGAAGGAATGTCAACAATGACCAGAGGCATACCAACCCTAGAAATTGGAAGGTCACAACCATTGCAAACAAGGCACCACTTCGTTCTACCAATTCAGGGGATTTAGGGAGCCCCGACATTGAGTACATCAGCCGCTCCACAAAATTAACAGCTTTCGTCAGCTGATACAGCCTATATACCTGGCAGATCAATTTCAAATGTTATGACTTTGACTAACTTTTTAAATCAAGTCCATTTTCAATTTTCTGGTAAATCAAATTACGCGACACTTCAATTTAAAAGGAGCCCCACACAACATAACGCACCTCGAATATGATGGGGACTAGAGGCCAGCAAGATGACCCGCGCTTGTCCAAATATCTCTCAAATGCCAATTGAACAGCACAACCAATCAAGAAAGGAGCTACTGCAACCAGGGATGCCAGGCCAACCACCGGCCAGATAAAATACACAAGAAAGACAGGAGCAATAACCTTGAGGCCCGTTGTGAAAAAAGCGGATGATAAGTATCCTCTGAGACCTGTGATAAGACCCCATCTTTTCGCGCTATACTGCAAATATGGCCTTTGGACATGATCAACCACACGAAGATAAGTTACCAGCCCAAAGTAGAAAACGGCCTCAGAAAACAGTGAACTCATCATATCTGCATTTTATTGAACATGGAAATAATTATTAGAGATATTTCCACCCAGCTGCTAATAAGATTTTTTTTACAATCAAAACCATATCAAATGTAAAATTCAACTTCCTTGCCCTAAGAATGTCATTGGAAAGAGAAAATTTAACCAAAATTACTAAAGATATTTTCTACATAAACACGTCAAACTAAAACAAAGCAAACCACGCATCTATTTCAACCCAAACGTCCATGAGCATAATTAAGTATGCATGGGCACCAGAAACACATCAGAATCTGAAGAGCAATCAGTAAATAATGAAATCCATTGACAACAAATCATGGCAATTCTTCTAAAAAAGTAACATGGACATTCTTTAATATCTGTTTCACAGTTCACTTTGTTTTTCTTCCTCACAATCTAATAAACATCAAGGCTTCTCTATTTCATCCCCTGTTGTTTTGTTTGGATAGGTGATAGGTGAAGGAAGCGAAGGTCATGTTGTTAGATGCATCACCACAAAAATCATTTACTCTACTTTCTGTTTTGGTATTGAAATTTTAAATGAAATTCAATTAATTATTATAGTAGTAAATCATATAAAGCTAAGGGAATTGGGCCAGAAGACAGCTTGGATAAAGGAAGCTAGAGAAATCTTAAACTCTAGTTATCACCTCAGTCAACATTCGCCTTAATTGATAACATGAGCATGTAAACATAACAGCATTATGAAGCTGCTTTTCAGAATACTGCCTGCATGAGTCTTCAATGATCACATAAGTAGTAACTTCTAATGGGGCGTGTGTGTGTGTTTTCTTTCTTTTTCTTTTTTTTCCTTTTTGACTTTGGCCAATAATGATGCGAGTTACATACGGATGTGGAGTGGTGGTAGCACAAACTAGAGGCTTGTGCTGGAATTGAGTAGTTGACGCAACTTATAACTTCAGCATATCATTGAACTTCTTATCGATCATTAATGAAACGAATATAAATAGACGTTCGAAAGTTTTGATCTTTCTGGCAGAGGAATTCTAACACAGACAAAATATAGATGCATCATAATACATAGAAACACAAACACAGTATAAAGACGTGCCGAATTCACAAAAATGTGAAGAGCAAGTACAAGGTTCTATAAATACCTACTAGAATCTCATCTTTGAAGAACGCCTCAATCACATTGCCAAGGAAGAACTGCGGAAGAATCAAAGACAATATGAACGCAAGTGGGGCTAAGACCCAGACGAGAGAGCCCTTCTCTTCTTGAAAAGGAGCGGACACCAATTTTCTCTCTTCAACTGCGTGGTATGTTAACCCATAGAAAGAAACAGAACCTGATTTTCCACGAAATGGTTCCACCCCATGATATCTAGTAACAGGCACACTAGAACGCTGTCCTGGATTTAATTCCAATCCACCATCTTCATTGGAAATCGAAGCATTAATAACAGACCTTTTGTTAAAGCGCAACCGTAAAGGTTCTTTAGTCAGCCATTTCAAACCTGAAACGGAATGTGCCGCAAAATTTCGTCTTATGAGAATATTAGAACAAGAGGGGCGAAAGAGAGAAGATAGAAACACACTACCAAATAATAATATGGAAAAAAAATTATGACATCCACCCAGAAATTCAAACTGACAAGAAAATGTACGTTTGGACGCAGCTGCAGGGCGAAGTCCCTGAAATCTCAATGACGACTTCGAATGGAAGAATTCCAAGGAGCGATGATTAGAAGAAAATGTTTGAGAGGGAAGCCCACAACAAACAGATTGGAATTCCATTTTTTGAATTTAGGGTTTAAGCCTCTGAGCTATTCGCAGAGCTCACTAAACTTTCTCCGCCTAAAACCCTCATCTCTTTGAGGAAGTACAGTATACATGTGAAAGTGACCCGAAGAGTGCAACAACAGTAATAACTAATAAGAAATTCCATTCGGCATTCACCATGTTACGAGCCTAGAACATTTTTTTTTCACATTTTTTTTTTTGGGCCTGAAGACTAGAACATTTCAATGGAAGGGAGACCCGCTTTTCCTATTTTGGTAGGCACAGTTGATTTTTTGTTGTGGACAATTTTATTTGATTATGCACACTTTTTCTTAATGAGAATTCAAACTTTATTCAACACATTATAAGGAGCTAGATTTTCTGAAAAATTTTAAATTTTTCAAAAAAAAATTTTCAAGACAACCTATTTAATGATTTAAGTACTCGATTTAACTTTTTGACAAAAGATAATAAAAACAGCATAAGATTCAGGATTCACATTCAACCATCTAAACCCAATTTTTTTTTTTTCATCTAACCATTTAAAACCTATATTAAACCAATTATAGCCTGGGTGACCCACTTTAATAAGGTAGGCATAGAAAGATGAGATAAATTTTTTTTTTGGCCATCAATCAGATAAAAAAATTTTATTGCTTGTGTTTAAAATCATTCCAGTGAATTATAAGAAAAGACTAGAAGAAGCATTTGTCAGTGATTAACACCTTTCTTTAATGGGGGAAAAAAACACTTTTCATAGCAGACGGAATCTAGTTTGTTAGATTTATATTAACTTTATATTTTCAATTCCTTACATGCTTACACGATATTAAAAAAGAAACTACATTATTCATAATTTAAGAATAATATAATTTTTAGAAAATTTTATTTTATATATCAGCAAGATACTTTTGGTCAGGAAAGCATAATATAGCAATATATATGGATTTTTTGATTTAATTTAAGATCAATGTCAATATAACCATCATCAATATAATATATGAAAATAAGACACGATTTATAAGTAGGGAGTAAAATAATTTATTTCTTATATTTTTTGAAGGATTAATACGAACTTTGATTTTTTAAATTTTTTCTCATTTTGGTTTTAGTCTCTCAAATTTTAAATCATAAGTTTTTGTCCTTTAATTTTTTTTTCCATTTAAAACATTTGTTCCTATAATCTAATAAAAACTTGGATCATTTTGTTCTTAGAGGGACCAAAACTTATTGTTTAAAATTTGAGGGATCAAAACCAAAATGAGGACAAATTTGAGCAACTAAATATTATATTAATCCTTTTTGGAATAAAAAGGGATTCTCCTTTTTTTTACAATAAAAAATAAAAGATAAAAGGGATTCATTGCTAAACTATGTCATACAAGTGGTTGGAAGGAATGAACCCAACATACCAAAACGGGCCTTTCTTCCTCAGCCCACTTCTTCCAGGCCCAATGAACACATCGTCGAGCCCATTAGTCACTCATCTATGGTTTCAAATTTCAATTCATATCATCATCACGCCCATCCATTCAATTTTGCTTCACTTCACGAAGGGGGGAAAATTGAAGTTTGGTTTCTTTTCCTTTATCACATGTTCTGCCTATCAACGGGCTCTAATTCTCTCCAAGGGAAATTTTTTATTGCCAACTTTCCAAGGAAAATTTGTTAATATCAAAATTTAATTACAAATAATCCCTATATTGATTAAGTATGTTAAGAAGTTTTCATCAAGAAGTAGCTCTGATATACATGATTAATAAAGATATTTTAGAGAAGACAATATTCATTTATTATACATAACTAACTTAACTAATTTTCTTACTATCCGCAAATTAGTTATCTATTTCTTACATTAAAAACAAGAGGTAGCAATATCTCTTGTTCTGACTCCAAAACTCCATCTAGAACTCAGATTGACCTCCTCTGGTCTGACCTTCTCTTATATTGTATGCATACACGTGCTGTTTGTATGATATACATACACATATACATATACATATATATAGAGAGAGAGAGAGAGAAAGCTAGCCTGGGAGAGAGGGAGACTTGGTCAATAGCTATGGAGTTTGTTGTTGTCGTTTTTTAGTATATATTTGTCATCAACTAGTAGTATCTCTCATTCATTCAAGTAGGGTCTCTTCCTTGTCATGCCAGTAACCTCATCTCCTGCATTTGGTTACATCTCTCTCTCTCCCCCCTCTCTCTCTCCCCATGTGTACTGTATTAAATGTTTCCTGCAAAACGCAAGTTATCCTTCTTTATGTAATTTAGTAAGCTCAACTCTGAACCTAATAATACAGCTGACTCCTATATATATGGTCATTGATTTAAAAATGATTGTACATGTATTTTGTATTCAGATAAAAATAAAAAGAGAAGATAAGTGCATAGAATGACTTTAAATGAATGATCACATGATTATTAATTCAGTTACTTAGTGTTTTATTTCAGCTAACTAGGGCTCTCAATTATATCAACATGACGTGACAGTTAAATTCAAGTCATATTAGATTAAAGGGTTAATATAATTTTTGGTTCTTTAAGTTTATTCTTATTTTAGTTTTGATCTCTCAAGTTTCAAACTATAGGTTTTGGTCCCTCAAAAAGTAAAATGGTTCAATTTTTTTTTTTTTGATTATAAGGACCAATGCTTTAAATGAAATGAAACTTAAATGACTAAAATCTATAGCTTGAAACTTGAGGGATCAAAATCAAAATAAGAGCAAACTTAAGAAACCAGAAATTATATTAACCCTACATTTAATTACAGTCTGAAGGTTGAGTGAATATACATGATTTAAATCGAGTTTGATAGAAGGCTTTGCTGATATTTTTGAAGAAGTAATAATAGCATAAAGGTAAGAATTAAAGACAGAAAGGGATTGTTTGATTCATAAAAGGAAGTGAGCACATGGGTGAATATACTTAGCTTATCTCCTGAGGTTAACACACACACACACACACGTCTATATACTTTCTCTGATCCTTATTACAGTAAAACACTTCTAATCACCTTGATAGACAAAATCAGTAAAAGGTGGTTAAGTTATTCACTTTATCTGAAAGTGAAAAAAGTAATTTCCCAATTTAATCCATACTTAATACCATGAATTGCATCTAAAAAGTCACATAGAAAGCAATCTTAGAAAAATATAATTAGTACTCTACTCAGTGAGTTATAATAAGAACCATTTAAACAGTAGAGAAGCACATGACAGATGGATTGAAAAGTATTAGAAAGAAACGCAAACCAACTCGAAGGGCATGACATAACAATATTGACCCCCACAAGGCCAAAAAGTTTTGAGAATACAAAAAACAAAGGAGAAAGGGGTAAAAAAGAAAGGGAAGAAGAGGGGTTGGTGGTCCTACACACAGTGACCTCTGCATAAGAGTGTATATATGCCCAGGCCACACCCACAAACAGGCTGTTAAAGAATGAGAAAGAAAGAGAAAGAGACACAAATAATGCAAAATCTGATGGGTCACATGGCCTCTTCTAATAAAGCATACTGACACCCACACATGCCCTTGCTTTTGCCCCTATTCCCACATTCACATGTTCACTGTCCCCCAAGTCCCCCACCACCTCCTTCTTCATTACAACAATATAATATCTCCAAATATTCATTGGGATTCAACTCATTTAATACATAGTCTCTTAGTCATTAATTACTCTCTCCAAATACATAGCAGTAATAAAATTATACAAGAAGCTCCTACTCTATATCTAAGAATAAAATCTTCACTCTCAAACTTCACCAACTAATAAGCTAAGTACAATGAAAACATCTTTTGCCTAATAATTTTATGCACAATACAAGTACTGATGAAATTGAACTATAGTTAGCAGGCTATAGAAGCATTTGTATGTTGAGCTTTTTTGGGTCAATCAACAGTGTCTCCAAGCACGACTCGAACCATATATTATGTTTGTTTTTTGCTGGCAGTTCCAACACTTTCTTCTCTCTTGGGAATTAATGTTCACTGTGGAGTAGGGGTCTCTATGGTGGTACGGATGATGGGGCTGGGAGCTGCAAGGATAGTGCATTGCAAGTGTCTGTGGCAAGTGGTTAAGTGGTCATTGGTGAGGCCAGCTGCTTGCATGAATGAATGAACCACGGTTGGACCAACGAACCTGAACCCTCTTCGTACCATGTCTTTACTAATGCTTTCTGATTTTGAGGTCTTCACTGGGATTTTGTGGCCAAACTTGTATTGAGTTGAGATGGGTTTGTGGTTCACAAACCCCCATATGTATTTGTCCAATGAACCAAACTCCTTGTTAATCTGCAATAACGGCATAATTTGCCCACACAGCATATTAGTCATTAAATAGATAGACTCATAAGTAGTCATAATAATACACGTCTCCTTTTTCTTGGGTGATCTTAAGAATGCATCTCCGTGATTCCTTCAGAGTCATATACTTTTGAATTTACTGACCTTTTATAAATATATTACTGCATAGTAGTTTTTATTACAAGTTTTGGTATGAAAAATAAGATTTTTTGCACTATTTATAACTTGTCAACTACATAACTTTATATAACTGTTTTTAGCCTTATATAGCTTTAAGATGTAGAGTAGTTCAATGAGAGAAAATTATTAAGATGTAGCCGGGAATAAGTCGTTATCATTGAAAGCCTGACTTGAGGTAACAAAAAAAGGAGTTTGTGAAGTGTTGTCATATATGAAATATTGAAAATTTTATGTTATTTTCATTTGGGCCCCAGCAAAACTGGGACTTGTATATATCAGTTGATAGTGCCAAGAGACAAATAATTATATAATTCATGTAGCACAAAAGTGGTTTATTTTCTTTTTATTTTAAAGTCGCCCCCCAGATTTTATAGTTTATGTATGTATACTTGAGATTTGAGAATATCAAGTTCAACAAAATTAGAGGCTAATTATTTGTGCATACCTTTAAAATTCGGTTAGCATTATCAACAACGCCTCGGACTCTGCTAATATCAATGCCATATTCAGAGCTGATAGACATCATTTGCTTATCACTCAAGTTCGCCACAGTTTCTGCATCAAATTCTGAAAACGCTT